CCCACCAGGGGAGCGGGTTAAATGAGGGCATTCAGTGTAACACTAACCTACAAATAACGACATGTTTTCAACCTTAGTTAAAACAATAGTCACATTTTGTAAGAAAACTTGAATTCATACAGTAACACAATGTTAATATGCAGCTGAATTAGCACACAACGCAGTTCGTATTAAAAGGGTGTCGAGGCAGAAGTTACATCAGCTGGCGGACAAACACCGGTAGCACGTGGAAACAAATCAACGCCGAGACAATATAACGTTAGATATTTTAGTCAAGTCGCTATAAATACAGAACCAAACTGTTACAATCACAAAAGTCATTCAGCGTGTTTTAGAAAATAAAAGTTTTGTCGCATTTAGGTTTAGAGCCTTAATAGCGTGTGTTTAATTCTTACCAAACAGCACTTTGATACAGCGGTCCATCGTTTTTTCGTGGATGACTTTTCAAACTCGTTACCGTTTCACTTGTACCGCTGGTCGAACTAGCTTCCCGAACCCATGGATAAGAAACCGCGCTATTATCGAATAAGCGTCTGTTCTCCGAGTTTAATACTTGAACACCCGCTCGTGATCGTCGAATGCTGGCGTGGCTAAGATGTGCATGGCGAAAAGCGACCGACAGTCTCATCTTTCCCCGAGAAAACGTCCACCGGGTCTTGGGTCTAAGCAGAGATTGTCGCGTCTGACGCTCAGGTGATCTCGAGCAGAGCTGGACTAGCGCGTGCCAGACAGAGCGACGGCGCGAATGCGCGCGCTGCAGCCAAGGAGAAAACGTCTGAATAATTATTACAAGTCTGAGCAAGACGAATGACTCACTTGGCGTTGGGCAACTATTTTCGTAACCTTATTTTCTCTTTCTTTACAAATCCGTATTGACCTATCCAGATCCAGCAGTCTCATTCATGTCATGAACTTTGTGTTTGCAAGTTTGAGTCTACAGCAGCCTGTACACTACCATTCAAAAGTTTGGAGTCTTACCATTTAAAACACCTGTTTTCTATTTAATATATTTTCAAATGTAGGTTACACTTTATTTTAAGGTGTCTTTGTTACAGTGTAATTATACATTTAAATACTGAGTAATATTAATGAACTACATGTACTTACTATATGGTTAGGGTTTGGTTTAGGGTTATGTGCATGTAATTATGCATAATTAATTGTTATTATAATAGCAAGAACATGCAACTGGTATAACAAGGACACCTTAATATAAAGTGTTACCCAGACGTATTTTTTCCTGAGATTGAAAAGCTGAATTTTCATCAGCCATTACACAGGTTTAAAGTGTCACATGATCTTTCAGAAATCATTCTAATATGCTGATTTGCTGCTCAAGAAACATTTCTTATTATCAATGTAGAAAACAGTTGTGCTGCTTAATGTTTTGTGGAAACCGTAATACATAAAATATATTAAATATATAAAAATATTCTTTGATAAGTATAAAGTAAAAAATAAAAGCATTTATTGGAAATAAAATCTTTTAAACAATTATTTATGTGTTTACTGTTACCTTTGATTAATTGAATGCATCATTGCTTAATAAAAGTATTAATTTCTTTCAAAAAATAAGTCTTACTGACCCCAAACCTTTGAACGGAAGTGTATAGGTGAATAGGTATCTTCCTGTTTATTCCATGTTTTTTATGCATCACCGTACATAACACAGTTGTCCCTGGAACAACATTTTAACAAAGTATTATATAGCAATGTCATTTTAGCAACTACATTTTTTTTTACCAAAGTCAGAAAGGTTTTTGGTATCCTGGCATGTGTTATTTTAATAGTTGTGACCAGGGGACATCACGTTTCACACGAGGTAGGCACATGGGATCTAATTAGGGTAACAAAATTACACTAATTTATGACATATGCTACAAAACTTTGAATGAATGTACACCAAATGAGATACAGCTGATAAAAGATTTGTGTACACATGAAATAGTTGGGGTCCATTACAACTAACCATCATTCAATACCTAACTTAAAAATATAGTTATATTGACAAGATACATTTTAACCAAAGTCAGAAAGGTTTTTGGTATCCTGGCATGTGTTATTTTAATAGCTGTGACCAGGGGACATCACGTTTCACACGAGGTAGGCATATGGGATCTAATTAGGGTAACAAAATTACACTAATTTATGACATATGCTACAAAACTTTGAATGAATGTACACCAAATGAGATACAGCTGATAAAAGATTTGTGTACACATGAAATAGTTGGGGTCCATTACAACTAACCATCATTCAATACCTAACTTAAAAATATAGTTATATTGACAAGATACATTTTACATAAGAATAAACACTTGATGAAGTGCAAACCACAGAAAAAAAGGATTTCCAAATCTCCAAAGGCACAAAATGAGTTATTTGCCAAAACGGCAAGCTTTAAAAATGCATGTTTATAATAAACAAAATAGTATTTAAGATCATTCTGGTGTCAAAAAACCCCACAAACTACTGAAATATTTATAACACTGATAGATTTATTTCAGCGATGTGTGTTTATTTTTCTTCAGAAGATGAATATAAATTTGCCTAAATAAGGAATAGGAATATAAAAACTAACAGAAACAAAAAAAACCTGAATCACTTAGTATGTATTTTTGACATTATGATATCTGTGCCCATGTCATCGTTTCCAGAAGAACATTTTCTTAAACGGATTGTTCCTGTCATGTCTCTTGGCTTGCTCCAGCTTCACAAGGACATCCCTGACCTCCACCTCAGTTGACTGAACATTGGTGTGAATGTAGTCTATCATTGAACTCTGCTCTTCTACCAACATGGCCACATCCAGAAAAACCTCATGAAGGCTCTGAATGCGTCTCTCTAGCTGTAGCAGTTCTGTATGTCGGCTCTCGATCTGGATGAGTGCAGACCGTGCCGTTTTACCTTCTGAAACCATGTTCTCACTGAAGACGTTCCACAGACCGCTCTCCAACATCTCTTTGATCTGGTCACCTGTGACCTCTCGGCCCACAATCTCCATCTGCCGTTGAATATACGCCTTGCAGGACTCCCTATGGCTTATCTCAGCGTCATTGTACTCCACCATGGCATCACGGAAACTGTTGCTTATGCTGGCGTACTGTGTTCGGGCAATTCTCGTCATGGGTGAATTGACGCCATACTTTTCCTCTAACTCTTTCCTGTGGGAAACCATCTTGCGAAGGTGCACGAGCATCTCCTGTCCATGTGTTTTGATGTCAGCTGCAATAGCATTAGAGTCACAGGTATTAGAAGCACTAGAGCAGACCGTGCCTGTAAAAATATGTGAGTTTCGCTCCCTAAGACGCTTTACTTCCAGGTGGATGTACTGAATCTGATGACGAGCCTCCTGTGCCTCATCAAATACAGCTTCCATGTCAGGGTTGGAGCTGGGGTCCTGATGAGGGTCATCATAGTCTGTGTTTTCTGATGGAGAGAGCGCTTGGGCAGTTTCATGTTCTGTTGCAGTGCCATTAGACAGTGATACTGCCTGGAGATGTCCAAGTCTGTCCCTCATGACTGAAATATTGGACTGAAAAGTTTAAAACAGATTTGGTCTAAATTCATAACAAAGCGAACACACATAAACAGCAGCCGGTAAAATATACAGTAGGCTATATATGGGTAACAAAAAAAACAAAACAACAACTCTTGAACAGAATATACCTTGTTAGACGTAACCCACACGTCAAAACGTCTGACTTGTGAAAAAGTACACTTGTGTCACTAAAAACCTGTCAGACAAGATAGACTTGTTTGTAGGTCCACATTTAAAAATAAAAGCTTTGTTTTACTCTCATTACGTTTTCTATTAGACTCTGCTTCATCATTATGCATTTAATAAAATTTGAAGAGAAGGCAAAAACTGCATTTTTATGTATTTACTTATACTCAATAAATAAAGAAAAAAGAGTCTATTGATTTAGTACATTAAAAAAAGCGTCAAACAAATATTATCCCAAATACGTACAATCAGACTTGATATAGGCATCGCATCAGTGAAGAATTTTTTTTAAAACTTTTTAATTAAACCTGACCTACGTTTAATGCTTGGCAAAACAATTAGTCTTCTCTGCTTTGAGCATTATTATCATTGTGGCCTACCTCAAATTATGACCTTCTCTGTGCATTCCTTGCAAAATCCGCTTTGCAGGTTAGGAAAATCACGCTATTATCAGTCCAAGAAAAATAAAAACCACGTTTACCTACTTTCACCTCTTCTCGTCCAACACCGCATGTGATTGATGACGTAACACGCAGACCCCCCCCCTTCCCCCAAGTCAGGTGTGAAGAGAGCAGTATGTCCGACAGAGGGCAGCAGAGATCACACATTTTATTTGCGAAAAGTGCTGAGGGAAGTACAGAACACGTGTACTCAACGTTCATTCTTATTGTAAATAAACCAAACTCATTTTTTGTCACTGTTAATGGATGTAGGTTACATTTTAAATCTACTGCAATTGCGGTGGTCGTGTTGTTTAACGTACAGAGAATAGACAGAATTTAGAAAGGCAAAGAAAACAGAAGAAAAAAACAAAACATATTTAGTATAAACAACCAATATGCACATTCTCCGACCAGTTGGTTATTATGGGCTAATAATTTAATTAATTTCTAGATTAGAAGAAAAATATTTGGTTTTCTGTTTTGCCCTCTGCTGTTTTTTATTTTTTAATTACATTTTAGTGAAGAATATTTAAATGTAATCAATCAATCATCTACTTTCTGTCAACTATAATCTATTCCACTGTCAATACACTTACTAAAGTGAAGCTCGAAGTTGCTCAAACTTTTGAATCCTTGACTTTGCAAACATTTTTGCATGTCAGGGCCCAATATTAGGCTACACAAATTTGTATTAAATTGTATTATATGACATGAAAAACATGAAGAAGGCATCGTACCCATTTCGCAAAACAGAGCGAACAGGTTAGGCGTCAAAGTTACGCCCTGGAACGCGCATTCCTTCCCCACACCCATTAAATGACAGCTGCACCAGTGCAGTGAGGATGGAGCTGCAGCCTTGAGATGACATATCAACAGAAGTGGACGTAATTTTGGACAAAAAGACAAGGTAATGTACTTTGTAGTATATGCCAAGCAAGGAGTTTCTTTCTTTCTTTTCATCTTTTTTTCAGCTCATTACTTCTACTTTACGGATTTATTATATAATAGGCCCTATATATTCGTTAGAATGTTGTCAGTGTAAAAATGTAAAATGCTTGAAAAAAAAATGTAATGGCTTGAATAAAGTTGGATATCTTATTTATACATTTCATATAAAACAATTGAAGAGAACACCATATGTAAGGAAACAAAAGCTGAACTATCAATTCAATCCATTCAAACTTGTTTGGTGAGTGACGCCAGTCAGAAATAGTTTCACAGATGAACTTGTTAGACTTGTGACTTTTTCAGGGTTGATAAGGAAGTATTATCTCCCCCTTTTACAGTCAGTTTCAAAAGGTACACAAGGAATGAAAATGATTTAATTCTTGTAAACAAGGACTACATTATGTAAATATGAACGTTATCGATATGCTATATTGTTTTAGATCGTTTACATCAGATCACATATTTCCTATCACTTCTGGTGGCACTGAGTGTCCTTTTCCGTTCATTCTCCCCTCTAGCAATCATGAGGGACAGATTGGATCATCTTCAGACCATTTCAGAGTCTAATAGCCAGCTAGAGGAGGTGGAATCAGACTCTTTCAGCAATGTGGACCTGGAGGAGGATTTCAGCCAACAGGCAGTCATTTATGACAACAGTGATGAGATGGACTCTGTGCTCGATGAGGCTCAAGACACTAGACGTGAGATTCAGTTCATCCGCCTGGAGGTGAAGCGTCTCAGGGACCAAAACACACGTATACTTAGCGAACCGACTCGTACAACTCACGTAAAGCAGGATGCCAATGTCATCGTAGGAGACATCAAGACCCGTGGACAGGACGTTCTGGCACGTCTACAAAAAATGGACGCCCACGCCAAAGAGCTTGAAGAGGAGCATGGCCTCAACTCAGCTGTGGCAAGAATCGCCCGAACACAGTACGCCACCCTAAGCAACAACTTCCGAGATGCAATGACAGAGTACAATGATGCTGAGATGAATCACAAAGAATCGTGCAAGCGTCATATTCAAAGGCAAATGGAGATTGTGGGCCGAGACGTGACAGGTGACCAGATTGAGGAGATGCTGGAGAATGGTCAGTGGAACATCTTCAATGATAACGTCATGTCAGAAGGCAAAACGGCTCGTTCGGCGCTCAACCAGATCGAGAGCCGACATCGTGACCTGCTGGATTTAGAAAGCCGACTCCAGAGCCTTCATGAAGTGTTCCTGGATGTGGCTATGCTTGTAGAGGAACAAGGACCCATGACAGACTACATCTTAAACAATGTTCAGAAAACAGATGCTATGCTTGGCGAAGTCCTTATCAAACTGGGACGGGCCAAGAAACATGACAATAACAACCCATTCAAGAAAATGTTCTGTGGATGCTATCCATGTGCTAAAATCTGATGAACAGTGAGGAGTTGTGCATTGGAGGGCACATTTTAAAAATGGGTAAAGTCAGAGATATGTTGAGAAAACTAAGCTCTCTTGAGTGATCATTAAACCTGATGCTACTGAAGTGAACAATAACATATGAGAGCAAATTAAACAACTAAAACAAACCAAAGAAAGACAGTCTGCACAACTTCACAACATACAGTCCTTACTATTTGCCTTCATAAAAAATGCCTTTTAATTTGCAGTTTGATACTTGTAAACACATACTGTAAATGCTAGAAATTGTGTAATATTACAACATATGCATAGGCTATAATTTATTAACATAATTTACACTATTATATCTTTCATCATTCTAATGGTTGAACTAAATATGCACTTTCTAGACCCTTTTACATTAAATAATCCGGAATATGAAGCATTTGCCGTGTTTTGCCATATTTTCAGTGCAAGTTGATCACTGTTATTTCAGTCAATTAGTTTTTCTGAAGCAATTTCAGCTAAATAAAAGATCTTATATAATTCTTACTTGCTTTGTCTTTATTATTAAATTAATTGCATGTGGCAAAATGTTTGGGTCTTTATGGTATTTCAAATGCAATTAGAAATACCATTATCAGAAAATATTCTTGTTGATAGGTATGCCAACAATACATTACAAATTTTAATGAATTATTTTTTAATACATAAGGCTATTCTTTCATCTTTATGAGTCAACTGGGTATATACAATATCAACAATTTTTTTCACCTTTTTGTACACCGTGGATTTTCTTACACATGAAACAACAGGGAAACTTTTTAGTTTGCCTTAGCTAGAATGAGGAAACATAAAATAACACTCTAGGGTTTTTAAGTAATTTAAGATAAATGTGTTGACATTGTGCTATTTTGATTTCCTTGTCACATTATTATATGAATTAGAAATTTTACTTTGCTTGGACTGTCGACTATTTTTAAAAGCTTACAGATTTTTAAAACTATTTGGATATAAAATGTCACATGAGGAAAATTTCCTTGTTCCTGAAAAAACCATAGGTGCCACAGATGTGATCTACCATTTATGGAAAACCATCATTTATTTACATTTACATTTAATCATTTAGCAGATGCTTTTTTCCAAAGTGACTTACAAATGAGGACAATAGAAGCAATCAAACCAACAAAAGTGCAACAATATGTAAGTGAGGTGACCGTCCCGGATGGTTTCCCGGAAGTTTTTTTGTCTTTTTTAATAATAAATATAAAATACAAAGAATAAAGCATAGAAATCGAATAGAGAGAGCTGGTGTTAGAGGGTCATGTTGTTATTTTTTATAATAAATAAAAATAAAACAAGTAGATAGAATAGATCATGATCCATGCTACCGTGTTTTGATGATTACACTGCAAGCCTGTTTAAAGGGGTCATATGATGTTGCTAAAAATAACAATATTTTGTG